TGGGAGGTCGATGGTTGACTGCAAGGGCTGTCCCTGCCCCAACGGTGTCTGGATGTGAAGTTCCTCCTCTGAGCAGGGTCACTGTTCTGACCTCACTCTCATCTTCCTGTTGCAGCTTCCTCTAAATCTGCCACTTTTAGTTCCTGAGAAAGAACCTTAAGAAATGGACTTTCTCGGGGAACCTGGCACCGCCAACGCCAGACATGCTGCTGCTGCTGCTTCTGGCCCTGCTCTGGTGGAGAGAGGGGGCTGAGGGTCAGAGGGAGTTGGAGAAGTATTACTGGCTGCAAGTGCAGAAGTCAGTGACGGTGCAGGAGGGTCTGTGTGTGCGGGTGCCCTGCTCCTTCTCCTACCCCCGGGATGGCTGGACTGACTTTACTCCAGCTCACGGCTACTGGTTCCGGGAAGGGGCCAAAACAGACCGAGCTGCATTAGTGGCCACAAACAACCCATATCGAGAAGTGCAGGAGGAGACCCAGGGCCGATTCCACCTCCTTGGGGACCCCTGGAGATACAACTGCTCCTTGGACATCAGAGACGCCAGGAGGACAGATGATGGAAAATACTATTTTCGAGTGGAGAGAGGAAGTTTTGTGCAATATTCTTACACAAGTAACCAGCTCTCTGTGCATGTGACAGGTAAGACGCTGGCTCCCGGAATCCCCACAGGGGAAGGACATGGGAGTCCTGGGGTAGAGCAGGGAGGGGACTCTCTATCCTGGGAGGTGGTTGGGAGTAAAACAGGTTTGGGCTCAGAGGGAGGAGCTGGATCAAAGCCTAAGCCTTCTCTCAGGGCCGCGCCTCAGACCGTCCCTCCTGATCCCTGTGTCTCCCTCTCTCCTCACCAGCCCTGACCCACACACCAGACATCCTCATCCCGGAGACCCTGGAGTCTGGCCGCCCCAGGAACCTGACCTGCTCTGTGTCCTGGGCTTGTGAGGGGAGCACACCCCCCATCTTCTCCTGGACATCAGCTGCCCTTACCTCCCTGGGCCCCATGACCAACCTCTCCTCAGTGCTCACCCTCACCCCACGGCCCCAGGACCACGGCACCAGCCTCACGTGTCAGGTGAAGTTCCCTGCAGCTGGTGTGACTGTGGAAAGGACCATCCAGCTCCACGTCACCTGTGAGTGCTGGGCCACGACACCCGGGTCCCTGATGGGGTCCTGAGGGCAGTGGGGATGGGGGAGTCACGGTCTCAAACACTGGTGGTAGATTCCAGAATACAGGCTGGGAGGGGATCAGGCGGACGCCCACCTCCACTTTGCCCTTCCGATGTGGCTCCTGGGGCCAGAGGCCTATGTCCACCCAGCCCTCACCACTGATGTGAGGCCACCTTGTCTTTCTGTCCCAGACTCTCCACAGAACTTGACCGTCACTGTCTTCCAAGGAAACAGCACAGGTAGGAAGGAGCTGTGAGCAGCTGTCCCCATCGCCCCCTCACTCCCCTCAGACTTGTCCACCCCTCTTCTCAGCTCCACAAGGAGAACAGGGCAACATTCACACAGCAGAGCCCACCTCGCCAGGCCTCTTTTCACCCATCTCCTGAAGACTCCTCCAGTCTCATCTTTTTATTTTCTCTGACAATTGCTTAAGTATTTTTGAACAGGTAATATATTCATATGTCAAAAATTCAAAATGCACAGCAGAATCTGTCCTCAGATGCCCAGTCCCCTCCCAGGAAGTGGCCTGTGTCCACAGGCTGCTCTGAGCCTTGGTT